AAGTACGACATGTGTAATGTTCTGTGTTTTTCAGAAAGATTGCAACGAACTTACAACTGCTTCTGCTTTAATTCAACAAACCATTATGTTGGTGTTGATATGCTGTCGCTGGATTCTTCCTAAAGGTGATATGACACGTGACCAATTGTCGCAACTTTTATTGGTGTTCATCGGTATGGCAGCGGATATGCTGGAGTTCTCGTCTGAGTCTTTAAAACTGAAGGAAACTGCTTGCGACGAAACACTTATCTATTTCGTGTTGACCATCTGGTCATGGAGCTTACTGCAGTTCTCTATCGGGCTTACGGCGACGAAAGCGCGCAAAACACGTGCGGCGGGAACTGGGGTCGGGGCTCGTTCCAAAGCAGCAGTGACGAAGGTCTGCAACTGTTGTGAAACAGAAATCTGGGCAATTATGACAACAGTTGTAATGCAAGATGGACCGTATCTAGTCATGAGACTGTACCTCATTATCAAATATATGCTGCTAGATCGAATGATGCTGTTTTTTACGTGTAAAAATGGTCTCCTTGTTCTCCTTCAAACGTATCGTCTTTATGTAGTTCTGACGACAGAAAAGGAACCGAGTGAATCCGGTGACGAAGAAAAAGGTGACAAAGAAAAAAAAGACGAAAAAAAAATTGAATGTTACGCGATGACAGTGGAAACAGACAAAGGCGAGCTTAGTGATAATTCAAAACCAATAGTGATAAAAGATTCATGAAAGGTATTCTAATATTCATGCCATCTGTTTAATTGTCAATTATCTACCTTATTTAGGGCTAGATAGTAAAAACATTTGGTAAGAGGATACAATCATACATGACAGTATAAGAGTGAGGTTGATCTCCGAAGGAAATAAAATTAGAAAGAATTGGACTAGAGAAACCAGGGTAAGGAAATTAGAACTACTATAAGACAAATGTTAATAATTAAATTCTGCTATAAATTAGTTATTAGTTTAATACTTTTGAAGAAGGCAATGTTAGCTAATGTTTATTAAAAAAAGAAAAGGATTTTTGATATCACATAATCAAAACACTACTTTCCTCCACCAATCCAGCCATATAAGTTATTTGAGAACTTCACTATTATTAACTAGTGAGCAAAGACCGAATATTCTCTGCTGGGAATGGTTAATACTAATAAATAGCAGAAGAGGGTTTGTTAACAAAAAGTTCCTTTTTCATTTTCCATTTTAACTCAGTTTCCAATCATT